GGCTGTTGCAGCGGCTGTTGCAGCGGCTGTTGCAGCGGCTGTTGCAGCGGCTGTTGCAGCGGCTGTTGCAGCGGATGTTGCAGCGGGGAAGACGGCCTCGTCGCTGCTCCTGCCTCGTCCTGCTCCCCCCTCCTCCTTCAGCCCCATCACCCCCCTCATCCCCCTCCTCCTGAGGGCGGCCCTGGGCGCCCGATGCTTCCCACCCCCGCCCTCCCACCCTCGCCGCCGACAACCGCCGCCACGGGCAACAGCAGCCCCCCCCCCCCCATCGGCGACCTTCAGGTCCCCAGCGGCGGGCAGCGCCGCCCGCGGCAGCGGCGCCCACTGAGGGGCGCAGGGGGGGAGGTAAGGTCGGACGACGTTGGGCGGCGCTCTTTTTCAACAAACTATGGCACGGCCTTGGTGCCTGGGCACAGTGCTGCGACCGTCGCGTCGAAACGCAGAACCCAGTTCCTCGGGCTGTTGTAGAGCTGTTTGACGGCTCTGTCGACACCCGCTTCTTCTCCCGAGCGGCACAGCACGCAAGTTCGCTGCGCCAGGCGGGGATTGGCCTGCCTCTTGAAGAACTTGCAGAGCTTCCTGGGGCTCTTGTAATAGATCACACACCCACTCGGCGTCTGGGCAAGCGCTCGCAAAACGCGGGGCAGTGTAGGCAGGTCTTCCGCGAGAGCCTCTGTTACAGCCACGTGGTAGCTCTTGCTCGAGTCCCGAAGCTTCTCCGTGCACTGGATGCCGTTTGGAGAATCCTCCCGTGCAAAGTCAGTCGGCGTTGTGAAGAACACAAAAAGCTCCCGTGAACGCTGCTACAGTCTGGGCGGCGATGCAATAGTCGGTGTCAGCTGTTGGCGCCAAGACTACGCTCCCCTTCTTCTTCCCCATGGGCCGTATGACTGGCGAGATAGTCCGGGAACTCCACGGGGTCCTGAAACGCATTGAAACGCAAGCGCTGCGCCTTGTTGCGACCGCCCCCATCTACACTGCGAGCCAGCATGAGCCCAGCGGGGCGCGGGGGGGGGGCAGCAAGTAAGCGTCGCGGCCCGCAGCTGGCCCGGCACTACTGCGCAGGACTTTCTTCCCTCGGGTGCTCCTGGCCTTGGCGGCGGCCTTCGCCCCTCCAAGATTGCGCTCTCGGATCCTGGCCTCCCGCTTGGCGACGGCGGCGACGACTCTTGCAGCGGGCCCGACTGGATCTGCGCCGCTCGCCTGGGCCGCCTCCTGAGCCAGCGCAGCGAGATCGGGGGCGCCCTCCGCGAGAAGGCGGGCGCGCTTGCTCGGGGAAGCGGCCGCCATGGCGTCGACGGCAGCTGCTCGCCTGCGCCCGAAGCCGACCTCTGTCCGACGTGCTGCCCCAGGCTCCCGCGTGCTTCCCTTGTCGCGCCTCTCGGCCCTCCTCAGCGGCGCGATCTTCCCCTGCGCGACCTCACGTAGCTTGCGCACGTGCCTGTGCCAACGACTGGCGGCAGAGCTGCTCTCGTCGTTGCCGTCCAGCCACGCGCGCGGCAACCTGCTGGAGGGCGCCTGGTCCACGAGCGTGCACTCCTCGACGGGCGCGTCGAGGAGCCGCGCCCTCTCGGGGCAATGCACCTCCGAGAAACGGCGGAATCGCCTCTCCAAGTTGCCCGTGCTCGTTTTCCATACAAGGAAGAGCTCCACGAGGCGACGGCCGCTGGGGAGCTCGGGCCACCCCACCGCAGCGCGGCCCCAAGCCTGCCGCGCGGTGCCCCCGTTTCGATGATGCACCTCGGCACGGGGCAACATTTGCCGCAGCTGGGAGATTGCCTTCTGCTCGGGGAGGTCTGCCGCCTGGCAGATGCGCTTCAAACAGACCTCGGCTTCTGTTGCATGCTCTGCTGTTGCAGACAGGGACAGGGGGGAAGGCAAGCGAAAGGCTGCAAAGGCGTGCAACCAAGAATGCTCTGGCCGATATAGCTTCACGTTCTCCTTCACATTGGCCACGATCCCCTGCACTCGTCGAAGAGCCGCGCGGACGGCTTCGCGGGACCGGGGCCCCGTGCTCCAATCGCCGATACCAACGGTCTGGACGCCAGTGCCGCGCACGAACCGCTTCGTGGCCTTCAGAAACTTGAAGGTGACGTCAGTAAACGTGTCGGGGATGGCCAGCATATTCCCCTGGACGAACAATGTACCCAGCTTGGAGAGGAAAGCGGCGGCCCTGGATTGAACGCTGGCAGCGTCGGGGTCGCTCTTGTCTCCGGTGGCGACCCAGGAGTAGTGCTCCGCGCTCAAGTCGGCCAGCAACCCCCCAGGAGCAGGCGCGAACTGCTCTCGCCCCCGAGCCCTTCCAGAATATGTCGGGCGAGAATGCGCCGATCTTTGTCATTCCCCTGGGGCTCCGCTCCGAGCGCCTCGAAAATGACTTCCCAACGCCGACTTTCCCGTGCATAGGGCCTCGCCCGACTGTTGAAACGCCGGGGGGCCCAGCCGAAGTTTTTGACGAACGCAACGCAGCCTTCCACCAGCTGCTGCTCCCCGAGTGCGTTGCGGAACACGGTGGAGGTAGTCAGGAACTTGGCCAGACTTGGCGGCTTCTTACCCGTTACCGGCAGCTCGTCCGCGGTCGTTATTTCGCTGTCTCCTTTCATCGAATTGGCCAGAACCTTCTGGGGCGAGTGAGACTCGCCCCACGCGCGAAACGCCAGCCCAGGGAACGTAGTAGTTGCAGCCAGGGGTACACTTAGATCCGCCCCGTCGCTGCACCATGCCCGAGTCTCCTGTCGCACATGCCTGCGCAAGTCCCCGTCGACCTCCCCGCCTGCCGTCTGGCACGCGCGACGGACGCACTCCTCCAGCATGGAAGCCTTGCCGTCGCAGTCCATGCCCCGCGGGAACTCCCGCATCCCGATCGCCCGATCCACGATCCAGGGCCCTCTGGGGCCCAGCTGTTCCAGCCGGCCTGCCTTGAGACCGTAGCTTGGGAGGAGGTCCAAAGCCTTCGGGATCGACCACGACACGGTGACAATTTCGATCTGGTACGTGCGGTCGAGGCCGTCCGCAGCCAAACGAAAAACAGCACCATGTCTGAGGATCCTCTGCGTGATGATCTTCTCGTGCTGGGCCATGGTGGTCACCAGCCTTCGGCGCTGCCGACTAGACTCCAAAACTTGGCGGTCGCCCCCAACGAACGCATCCCGCCGCACGTCGAAACTACTGAAGGAACTGGTTGTCTCCAACATTGCACGGGTGGCGACCGCTGCGCGGCAACCAGGGCGCTGGTCGGCGTTGCGGACGACGGCGGGCGCAGGCGCCGCGGCTGTTGCAGCTGCTGCAGCTGCTGCAGCCGTTGTGGAGAACGCAGACACGGGGAGACCCTGGTGCGCACCTTCCGCTCGAACCCGCTCTTTCCACGCCGCTGCTGCTGCCTGGTGCTCCTCGCACTGTGCATGGCGCACGAGGTTTTCCTTGCGTTGGAAACTCGCGGATCCCTGGCCTACGGTGGAAATGCAGCGAGCGCCCTCGAACGCCGAGCATAACAAGCAGACTGCAAATCTACCACCAACGCAGCCTATCCAAGTTTCACTCTTCAGTGTTACTGGATTCGTCGCAGACATCGAGGCGCTCCAGTTCTCCTTGTTCTTCCAAAATTTGCAAGCGCCGCAGGTGGAGACGTGCTTTGGGTAGTCGTGGCTGGCGACGTGCTCCTCCAGGGTCATGGACAACGAAGGCGGGAGCTTCTCGACTACGTTGCTCGGGGCGGCCTTCGCCTTCGCTATTGCAGCCGCGGCTGCCTCGCTGCTGGAGCAGCTGTCCTCTGCGGAGCCGCTGTCGGAGCCGCTGTTGGAGCCGCTGTCCTCTTCGGAGCCCGCTGCGTCGGCAACTCCGTCGGCGCCGTCGGCGCCGTCGGCGTCGGACCCTACGTCAGCATCGGCGTCCGAGCTGTTGCAGCTGCCGCGGCTTGGCGAAGCTGCCCTCGACGCGGCCGCAGGGCTCGGGCTCGGGCTCGGCGAAGCTGCTGCCCTCGAAGAAGAAGCAGGGCTCGGCGAAGCTGCCCTTGAAGAAGAAGCAGGGCTCGGCGAAGCAGCTGCCCTCGAAGAATAAGCATGGCTCGGCGAAGCTGCCCTCGAAAAAAGAGGGGACGACGAGGCTGGAGGGCTCGGGGAGACCGCCCCAGCGGACGACGACATTATTATGTTGAGCCAAGTCCTACGGACCACAATGGTGACGATGGTGATGGTGATGGCGATGCTGATGGTATGGATGGTGGTGATGATGATGATGATGATGATGATGATGGGGATGGTGATGATGGTATGGTGAGGGCGGTTGTGATGGTGATGCTGGTGATGGTGATGATGGTGATTCTGGATGTGATGAGCACCACCATCATCACCATCACCATCGCCACCATCATCAACACTACGATTTAATAACCACCATCATTACAATCGTCGTCGGCATCAAAAACGTAAAAAAAAACACTCAACCGACTCAACCTAAATCCGCCCTAAATCAAACCAGAATATCAGGGGAGGGAGGGCCAGAACGAAGAGGAGGGATGACGAGGAGGAGGAAGTTTGGGGAGGAGGAAGAAGAGGGTCTACTAGGGATGATGCGAGACACAGTGGAAAGGAGGAGCACGATGAAACAATGGGGATGTGGGGGGGGAGACGATGCAACGAAGGCGATTGGTAAAGATGTCGGCACGAGAAGAAACAGAAGAAAGGTGAGGAAGACAGAGGATCCAAACGAAGAAAGATCAAGGCCGACGAACGACACATGAGGACAATTCGAAGAATAACGGGCAAGAAGGCTGCAATTCCGCTAGGCTGTGATGGCGGAATTGGCCCTCGGGGGGCCGTACACCTCTGGACCGGGAGGAGGATGAGGAGATGGGGTGTGAGCGGAGGACGAGCGAGAAAGTGAGGAGGAGGAAAGAGGGGGGGGGGAAATAGAGAAGGGGGGAGCACGGATGATAGATGAGCCCAGGAGGGGGAACCCAGGAGGGACGGCCGGCGACGGCGGCGGCGTCGGCCGAATGGCGCCTGCTGCAAGTTGGTCGAGATGCCGAACCACCGCAACACGCGCCCCACTGCCAGCGTGTCAAGTCCTCTGGCCTGGGCGGGGTGGGCGGCGACGAGGACGCGGAGGGCGATGGGTGGGGACGTTTTGCGTTCCAGGATTCCTGTGCACACGAAATTCAAAATGGGGGAAGAAGGAAAGGGCGGGAAAGGGGGGGCGAGACGGAGAGGGACGAGGCGAAGCGCGTCCGTCGGAGCGCCCCCTAGACGGCGGCACGGCGAGGGGGAGGGGGCGGATGGAGGAGTGGCTGATGAGGGGTGGGAAGAAAATCTGGACGGACACGTCAGCCTCGACAAGCAAGCCCGCGTTGAGCTCGAATATTGGTGCCTAAGGAGTCCCCGCCATGGACGGCGGCCAATATCCACCAAGACCTCGGCAATGCCCAGGCCTGTAGCGGCGAGGAGGATGACGGGAAGGGGGGGGAGGAGGAGGGATGATCAGGGATGAGGGATAGAAGAGGGAGGAAGCGGAGGAGGACGGGAAAGGGGGAGAGGGGTGGGAGGACTCTTTCCCGCAGGAGTTCCACGACCCTCGTCGTTCCCCTCTTCCGAGGGGCCTGGCAAGGAGCCCGGCCGTGGCGAGACACAGGCTCCAGCTAGAATCTAGACTAATCCCACGACCTCCAACGCACGGCGAGACGATGAAGGCCACCAGGAGGGGCGCGACGAAGAAGACGCTCACCCAGAAGACGACCGGGCCCCACACTGCAATCCGAACAAAGCCGCTGCTGCGTACCAGCCAACCACATACAGCAAGAAGATACGGGGAGCCAGCGAGCCGCGTCTGGCATGCTGGCAAACGTGATGCCGAAACACTGGGCGAGAGCGGAGACCTCCCATAGACGTCAAAAACCTCAAGGAACATCCACCTGCTGAGAGAATTCGAAGAACACGAGGCCCCTCTCAGGGTCGGGTGGCAACCCAAACGGCTGCCAAGCCGGGTGGCGCGTAACAGAATTCACCACTCGCGCCAGCGCGCCGCCACAGCCGCCTGCATCCCCGAATAGCAGCCCCTCTTCAAATTCAGGTGGGAGGGCACGCGACGCCAGTCCGACCGACCGGCTAGATGCCACGGCGCCGACCTTCGCCACATAAGCTCCGAGAGGAACAGCAGGCAGATCAGGAAGGCGTTCGGCACGACGAGGCTCTCGAAGACTGGCTCGAAAAGTACCTGACATCCTCCAAGCGCCCACGACGCTGGTCAAAGGCCGAGCGAATGATCCGGAGGGAAACATCGACGCGTAGAAGAACCCGCCTCTGCGTACCCATCGGCAGGCTGAGAGACGAAGCCAGCAAGGCGAAAAGCCTGCGCAGCACGTCCTCGATGCCAAGCATGCTCTGCACAGTTCGCCAGCCGATGAACCTGGAGGGCACCGGGACACACCTCAGGATCGAGCACCGCACCCATGCTAGCAGAGCGCGCGAAAGGCGACGGCACGCCAACCGTGCGGTGGTGGGGATCGTGAAGCTCGAGAGAATAAACTAGAATAACAAAACTGCATAAACATACCCTGTTGGGGCTCCGCGCGGATTTGTTGGATCTGCGCTGGACTCCCCTTCCTGGCGCGCGCAGCCCACCAGGGGCAGCGCCGGAGGCGCCGACAGGTGGGCCCAGCGCGGATCCTAGAAATCTGCGCGGAGCGCCAAAAGTTTATGTTTACGCCGTTCTTCATCTGGGATGAACCATAGCCCCCGCCCTTGATGCTGCCCGACCAAGGACCTGCACGGCAAACGGGTCGTTGCCGAGGTGCCAAAGTCGATGAGAAACCGAGGGCGAAGGCCCGCAGCCGTTGTCGGCGACGCCACTGCGGGCGACCGCCGAAGCATGCCAAGCAGATTGAGCCACGCGGGGCGGTTCGCAACGGAGCTGTCCCAACCCAGGCCATTCCGCCAGCGAGCACAGCCATATGAGACACGTTATCTTCTTGGCCAACTCTGTGGGGCCAAGCGCTCGATCCTTCTCGAACGCCCTCAGGTAACTACTCCGACCCCGTAAGTGTGGGTAGGGCTGGCACTCCTGCACAATCGTCCCGCTACTTCTGTAGTGATCCGTACCAACACCGCCACGTATGGAACATGTAAAAGAAAGTTCCTTGCGAGATCCCGCCCCCACCTCTTATCGCCCCATAGTGATATAGCCTGCGTAGGGTGCGCAGTGAGGTCCTCCCGCCTAGGCCCCACCTCTCGCCAGGCATTGCGTGCAGGGTCTTGGAGGGACGGCGGGGAACAGTGCTCTCGCAACCTCTTACAACTGACACCATTTCTTCGCTTGCACGGCTCCGTACCACAAGAACGGCAAAGCCAACACGGTGACGACTGGATCTGGGGCCCGAAGGTGCAACGACTCGGAATGGACGCGCGGCATGCCAAGCTTCGGCTTGGCCGTGCCAAGAGAAGCCTGTACTTCTCTGCCTGGTCGGCCTGCTGCCAAAATGGCGACCGACCTTCTGCGGATGTCCTCAGACTCCGTCACGAGCCCACGCAGAGTCTCGGAGAAGCCCGAAGGGACCTGGGGATGCCCAAGGAAAGACTCCTCCGCACGCTCCTTGGCGAGATCGTGAACTTTGAAGTGGGCCTGTACCTCGGACGATGGCAGGACTGGGTTTAGGGGGACCTGGTTTAATGATCTGTACCGGGGACGCCCCCCCGTCTCATTCCACTAACCGGAATTGCCGTCACCCGAAAAGCACCAGCTACGGCAGACCTGGTTTAGTGATTCCAATGTAGTTATTTTTGCTTCGGGGCCCAACGACCAACCGGCTCCCCTTAACAAGGGTCCTGGCTATACCCGAACCTCGGCCGACGCACGACGCCAAAGGCCAGATCAGAAACGTGACTCTCAGCACTGACCGTGTCGATGACTCTCCCAACGGAGAGCTCGCGCACTAGGCTTCAAAGGTCTTTGTTGGTCCTTGGACGCCATCTGGCCTTGGCTTGCAATCTGAGAACCCCCCTGTACATATGCACTGTTCGTCCGGTAAGTCAAACTCCTGCGCCCAGTGGCCAGGATGACCACCTTGAGTACAAGACACTCCGCACGATAGATGCCTTGACTGGAACTGGGGAGGCTTCCCCCCGAAACCTCCAGATTTGACTCCAGAAACCCCTGGTTCCCATGGGCCCCCTCCCCCCAGCCCACCGCAACAACAGCCTGGGCGGATCTCCTCAGCAACGGGTGTCCTGATAAGGGTCCCCCTGGGGCGTCACCTGCCGGCCAAGTCCTACCCTCTTCCCGAAGACCACCGAGGAGAGGGCAGAAGGACACTCCAGGAGGGCAAAGACGGGGGAGCTTCAAAGGTCGGACCAAGCTGGATGTTCCAATCATTTCGCGGCTCTGGGACTGGAATCCGCCCCCTGGGAGTCAGACCTCTGAGCCAGTAGCAGGGGTGTGCTACGGCCCTGCCACAGCTTGGTCTCTTAAATGCTGAGAGCCCTTTTTGTGTTGGTCCTGTCGATCTCTGGGCAAGTCCAGCAGTGAAGGTCCGTCTCAGGCTCACGGCCACACATCGAAAACATGTTACCCTTGACCTTGACTTCAGCCCTGCATGCTGCCATGACCGTGCACTGGGCTGCGCCGAACTTAACGGATCCCCTCTCGGCCATGGCACGGATACCCTTGAACGTATCCGAGGTCTCTGGCCCGTGCTCCGTCGGGGGTGGGTTCAAACTCTTTGAGAAAAGCTCCAAATCGGAGTCGGTATCACCAACCTTCGCTGTCTTGCTGGTTGCTGCAAGCAAACGTCCGCCGCGGCCCCCCGGATCTTGACCCGGTGGCCCGCAGCTCGGAAGGAGGCCGCAATCTCGGCCGCTGGAGTCCTGCTGGAGGCTATGGCATCTGACTTCTCCGAACATGTGATGCCATTCCTACAGATCGCACCCGCAAACTCCAAGGCTGATTCAGCCAGACAAGCGAACTCCATGTTCCTTGGGCCCTCATCGAAAAGGGAGGAGAGGGAGCAGATGCCGCAGGACGCAGGCGAGAGGGAGGAAGGTACGAGGCGAATGCGAAATGATGATGATAGTGATGATGGTGATGATTATGAGGCTGATGCTGATGATGCTGACGATGATGATGACGATGGCGATGCCGATGACCGATGACACTGATGATGCGGTTGTTGATGGTAAGTGTACTGTTACGGATGGCAATGCCAGTGTTGCTGTTGATGCTGTTGCTCCTGATGATGTCGACAGTGATGACGATAACGATGACGATTACGATGATGACGACGACGATGACGATGACGATGATGATGCTGATGATGGTGCTGATGATGGTGATGCTGGCGATGGTGATGCTGACGACGATGATGTGTATGATGATGCTGATGATGTGGCTGCTGCTGATGATGATGATTATGGTGAAGATGTTAATGATGATGGGGAGACCGAGGAGGAAGAAGCGGCATAATAGATGATGACATGACGATGCGCGTGATCAAGATTCTGATCATGACGAAAGCGAAGGTCTATAGAGGTCTGCGAAACTCCCCCAAGGCGGAAACCTACGGAGGTCATCGGATGCCTCGGGAGGTTCAGCGTTCCAAATAGGGCTTCAGATCCGATGCCGCGTGCAACCGTGGCGACAAGAACCGCCCAAACGACGTCGTCGTGGAGACGGCAACGAAGCCCCTATTCCTTCCCTGGGACCCGTGGGGCCCGAAACGGATCTCCAGACGCCAAACGCATGGGAAGCAATAAGGGAATACAATTGTCGTCTGTTGCAAGATGTTGGAGGTCCGGGTTTGGGGGTCAAGGATCACCCTCTGGACGACCACGGCGACGACGACCCCAGAAGGCGAGGGGCCGAAGTGTGGCCTCCTGACACCCTCGCTGCCCCCAAGCTCAAAGTTGGACCCATTCGCGAAGCAGCACACGCGTTAGAGGACAAACAAACAATGCGAGCAATATTTACATACATATCCACTAGCCTTGGACTTCCTTGCAAGGGGCGCCGTCAAGCCGAGGCGCACTGGATATGGATGAAATCGAGCCTCTCGGAGCCAGATCTTTATCTAGATCCAGTGCGCCTCGGGTTTCTGGGGAAGGGGGGCCCGAAACTCGCTTGCGGGCAAGACTTGTGCCCATATATTCTTGCCCGCAAGCGTGGGAAGCCACGGGAGGCCCGCTCGAGCCCAGAGGCCAGCTTCGGAACTGGGAAAAGGAGAGCAAGCCAACACGCGTGGCCCAGAGGTCTGGCCCCCCCCTCCTCCGAGCGTCTCTCGGACCATTGACCATGCCTCGGGCCTTCGCCGTTGGCTTGGGACGTCTCGTACAACCCCTGGACGCTCGCGGCGAGGCGCAGCTGCAGAGCATCCCGAGGCAGGAAAACCTTCCAAGAACATTCAGAAACACAAGAGATCCGATATTCGGAAGAAGGATCACGCCCGATCGGGCCAGACAGAACCGACATCGAAACGAACCGATCAAGAATCTCCATAAAGGACCGAATATGACCGGTCCGAATCGACGCGAGTCCGACCAAGCGACATCTTGCCGAGGTGGGAAGGCCTTAAAGGACCAACGAAAAACTTCCAAGAGCCGGAGGGAGCGCCTGGGAGCGCTTGAGAGCGCCTGGGGGCGCTTGGGAGCGCCTAGGAGCACCTGGGAGCGCCTGGGACATAAGAAACAAGTCCCAGGAGCTGACTCCGGGGAATGTGAAGAGCACAAACTGACTTAAGCTTGGCTCAGGGCACCCAAAATCAGCACCAACGTCTGAAATTCTTGAACCCCAACACTGCTCACTGTACACTGCATCTCTCCGCTCCGCTTCTGGTCCCATCATCAACGATGTTCGTTCGATGCTGGACCATAGAAAACTTGGCCTGAAGAGCCCCTCAGGACCGAAACGCGTACGGCAGGTTCGTGTCATGTCGACCCCGGCGTTGGTTCCTGACATCGCGGGGATCGTTCAACCTTGAACGATCGGCCAAATCGTTCAACGTCGCCCGATTCTGGGCCGCCGGCGACGTTCCACGTGGAACACCCGCGGCGGGGTCGCCGCGGGCCGACGCGACGCGAACCGGGCGTAGCCTCTGTCTCTTCTCGCTCGACTCGAGCCAACACAGAGACCTGGCGTCCGAAGAGGAGGAGGCGGAGGCGGAGGCGGAGGCGGAGGCGGGGGCGGAGGAGGAGGAGGAGGAGGAGGAGGAGGAGGAGGAGGAGGAGGAGGAGAAGGAGGCGGAGGGGGAGTCTGCGTGCGCGAGGGAGCCGAAGCCCGCGGGCCTCGTCCCTGGCCCCGCTCGGGGCGGACATGGTGGCCTGCTCGCTGACGGCGGCCTGCCCGCGGGGGCCCGCGCTCCGCTCGCGGTCGACGCGGCCGCCAGCGCCGTCCTCGTCGTCCTCGACGTCGCCCGCCCTCCCCCTCAACCTCTTTCTGCTCCGCCTCCTCCTCCACCTTCACCTTCACCTCCTCCCCCTCCATCCTCCTCCCTCCCCCGCGAACTCGCCCTCCGCACCTCGTCTCCTCTCCTCCTCCTCCCCTCCTCTCCTCCTCCTCCTCTCCTTCTCCTCTCCTCCCTCCCCTCCTCCTCTCCTCCTCCTCCCTTCCCCTTCTCTCAAGCCTCCGCCCCGTCCTCCTCCTCCACTCCCGCACTCCACCTCCACCTCTTCCCTCCTCCTCCCCTCCTCCTCCTCCTCCTCCTCCCCGTCCTCCACCACCTCCGCTCCCCATCCCCATCCCTCGCCCCCATCTCCTCGTTCCTTTCGTTCCCCCATCCTCCATCGTCGTCCTCCTCCTCCTCCTCCTCCTCCTCCTCCTCCTCCTCCTCCTCTGCATCTGTTGGGCCGCTCAGGACTTCTGCCGGTGCCATCTGGGGCGTCTTTCTGTGCATGCTCAGATATCCCAGGGATCTGCTCGGCCTCCCGCTCCTGCAGGTCCCAAAAGAAGAACTATCTCCTCCTCGTTATGTTCCGTCCGCTTCTCCCCCTCCACTGGAAAGAAGGAGGAGGGCTTCCTTATGTCTCCCGAGGGGGGAGGAGGGGACGGCTTTCCTTTCCCCACCTCGGGAAATCTCTGGAATAGAACATCAAAACTCAGCATAAACAGGAACAGTCGGAGGTCCGCGCAGATGTCTGGGGGTCCCTGGCGGCGCCCCTGGCGCCCCCCCCCCCGTGGCGCGTGTCGCGCGCCAGGGAGGGCCCAAGAGATCCGCGAGGACTCCTTTTTCATTTTTTCTTCGTCGAATCTTATCCATCCAGGAGGTCTCTTGAACCCTCCGGAACCCTCCGTGGAGGTGCCTCGTCTGGCGCAAGATCACATGGATGATGGATCCGTCGGGGAAGGCAACACCAACTGCATTAGGCAAAAACGGCCCGATTTGGCGACGGCGTGCGCCGAGTCTGCACGGAAACGGGGCCTGTCCTCTCGCTTGGATAACTGCTCCATCGGAGCCTACGTGGCTACTGGCGCTGTCCGTCCGGTTGGGTCTGGTTTCAGAATTGACTTGGAACACACGGGGTACCCGATGCCGACCAGAGTCGCCCCTTCACAAGAGCCGAGACAAAACGAGGAGGGGAAGGAGGAACAGGAAGGGCGAGGAGGAGCAGGAGGAAGGGCCAAATGCTGTCCTCGCACCAACCTTTCCACATATGGTTGTCGTTGCAAAGATAGCATGTGACATCTTTTCTCCTCTACGAAAAGGAAGCGGGGCACCTTCTATTCAAGATTCACTGTATTGGCTGTGGCTGCGTCGTGTGTGCACGCCACGCAGGCCGGCATGCACGGACTTCGATTCGCACGCCGGCGTTGCCAGATGCATCAGGTGGCCTGTCGTTGTCTGTGCGCCTGTGCGGCCGAATGGTCACTGTAATGTCTCGTGGCTGCAGCGTATGTGCATTCCACAGAAACTGGCATGCACAGATTCGCACTCGTTCGTCGGTGCCGCCTGATAGACCATGCATTGTCAGGGGTACTGGCCGCCTTCACGATGCTCTATAGTTCTGGTCAAACGCCCCCTTCACGCAAACTCAACTTACCAGCAAACGGTACGCCATCAAAAACGGACCGAGTGCTGCATTCACTGCATCTGGCTTTTCAAGCATGATCCAGTGGGAGCCCTGGGGCACGCAGGTCACGTGCGCATCCTCCATCCTTGGAGCGAGAGCGCGCATGTCTTCCATCCAAGTTGGCTGTACCAGTCTGATGACCACATCATCACTACCATAGAGAAATCCAGAAGGCTGATTCACGCGAGCGCCTTCCAGCCTAGACGTCGCATCGAAATTGGAATCGAAATTCCTGTAGTAATTCACCCCACCTATGAAGCCACTCTTCGCATACTGGTTGAGCCAGAACTCGCGCTGATGTCCAGCCGCCCATGCTGGCGGTTCCCCAGCGGGATACCTACGGCCGATGAAGCCACCGGAGGATCGCATGGCCGAGGGCGCAACGAACTTTGCCCACAGCAGCCGCTTGAGTCTGGACAGCCCTCTGGCCTCCCGCGCCTCCCCGAACGGATTCCTGAACATGCGGTCGTGCATCTCCCCCGCCCTGGAGGCGTACTCGCGATCAGCGGGGCCCGAGAATGCGCAGCCACCCCTGCCGTCGACCTCACAATGGTAGAGAATCCGCCGACCCCTTAGGGTCACGGCGTGTGAGATGCTTCCCCCTCCCCAAACCCCTCCCCCCGGAGCCCGGTCCGGCTGGTTTGGAGGGGGGTGGGGGGCAAAGGTGCCGGCCGCACCCTTGGAGCCTTAGGGGCCTCAAAACGGGCCGAGAGGGCCCCAGGAGGACCCCTGGACGGTCCAAGAGTGCTACGAGTCGCCGAAAGATCGCTCCAAGACGCCCAAGATTGCCTTCACCCAGAGGCCCCCAATACGACCCAAGAAGCCACCAAGAAGCGTCCCAAGAGGCCCTCCATAAGCAAAAATCGTCCCTTTCCTGATGGAAAACGTCTATTTTTAGCACATTCGTCTCGTGGGCTTTCACGGGGCCCACAGCGGCCCAAGAAGCCTTCAGGATCGACCAAAGATAGCCCAAGAGGCCCCCAAGAGGCCCCCAAGAGGGCTCCAAGACGGCCCAAGAAGGCCCCAAGACGGCCCCAGAAGCCCCCGAAAAGGCCGAGGAAGGCCCCAGGACGGCCCCAAGCGGAGGCCCAGAGGGGGAACCCGAACAGACATTTCGAGCACTCGGCCCCGCAAAAACCTGAGGAGGTGCCAAGGGGCCCCTAAGAAGGCTCCCACGAGGCCCCCGAGAGGCCCAAAAGAAACCCTTAAAGGCCTCGACACGGCTCCCAAGAGGCCTCAAAGGACTGCAAGGAGAACCCAGAGGAACCCAAAAGCAGAGCCGCGATCAGCAGAGACGCTGAAACCCTAAAATTCCAAAGAAAACGCGCGCGGTCCGCAAACTCCGTTTATGACTCTTACTGCCGCCCCAAAAGACCGTTTTTTTGGAATCGGCGATAACCCGGGTTATCCAGGGAGGGGAGGGGAGGAGGGGGCCGGCCGATAACCTACCATCCGCCCTGTGCGTAGCCCTGCATATGCCGGTGCCCCCCCCCAGGCCTGCATAACCGGCAAGGTTAGGTTATCCTGGGGGGGAGGGGGAGGGGGGTGCAAGCCCGATAGTCTCCAAGGGGTCGGCGGTGCGGCGTCAGCCGATGAATATAATAGAAGTTGGGCCCAGTCATCTTGCGCATCGCCTCGGTGGGGCGCACCTCGGACGGCGTCATGCGGGGCACTGTGGACGTAGAACCGCCCACCTTCCAGCCCAAGGGCACCGACATGCAGAACACCGTCTTAAAGACGTCGGGCCGGAGCAGCGCAAAGTGCCACGAGCAGATTGCTCCCCAGTCGTGGCCAACGAGGTGAGCGAAGTCGTGCCCCAGGACCTTTACAAGGCCCACCGCGTCAGCACATAGAGTCTCAATACCATACTCTTTAGGATCCACTGGCGATGACGTAAATCCATAGCCGCGCATGGATGGAGCTGCCACATGGAAGTCAAGCTTTGCCAAATATGTCATCTGATGCTTCCACGAACCCCACCCCTCTGGCCAACCGTGCACCAACAGGACCAGCGGGTCCGATGAATTGCCCGCCTCCGCAACCTCGATCTCAATGCCGTTCGCGCGCACAACGCGCAGGCGAAGGCCGTGAGCGGCGGCGAACTCGAGCGCCAACTTCGGCTGGGAGGGAAGGCACCCCTGAGGTTTCAACCTTCTGATGATCGAGTAAGCTGCAGCGGCTCCTATGCCAACCAACCCCAAAACAGCAACCGCCTGCCGGGTGCGATCGCCCATGGCGATATCGAGCGTGCCAGGCATACTTTCTGTCACCCGCGCAGCAAAATCGCCAGACAAAACGGCTTGACTCAAAATAGCTTCGGACGAAGATAGCGTGCAACATCAATCTCTGAAAAAAGACATGCTATCTCTGTGAGGTGATTCCCCCGCGAGCCCTTACCTAGATCGTGAGGTCGAGGCGTTTGGGGTCTCCTCCTCCTACTGCTCATTTCCTCCTACTCCTCATGGTCCTCCCACTCCTCCTCCTCATCCTCCTCTTCCCCAGTCCACCTTTGTCCCCTACCTCCGACGACTTGAGATTTTCTAGTCTCAGGCTTCCCCCCGTGGGAACAACGATGACGAGGGTGACGACGACGATGACAATGGGGGGAGGAGGAGGAGGAGGAGGATGAGGAGGAACATGGAACGTGTCATGTTAGGGCTACATTGGAAATCTTGTATCGTGTTGTAAGCCTTTGTAATCCATCCGGGTTTTCTGGGGCCCTCTTCGGCTTCCCTTGGGCCATCCAGGACGTGTCGTTGGACAGCTCGGTGCTCTCGCGGCTATCGCGAAGGGAGTGTGTGGGATCTTTGAGCCGTGGTGTTTCTCTCTCGGGGATTGTTTCGTGGGACCCTCGCGTGGCTCGCTTGGAGATGGCCCGGGGCCAAAAGTAAACGGCTGGGCATTGAGAATGCCGCCACCGTGCCTGGGTTGTGGGTCAGAGGCCTTCTGCATGTATGTTCGGCTCTAGCCTCTCTGGTGAGGGTATTGGAATCAGTGGGCCTCGGACGTTACTTTGGGCGTCCTGGGGGCATCTTGGGGGCTTCTTGAAGGCCTGCTGGCGCCCCCCTCGGGGCGGAGAGCTCGACATGTGAGTTTGAATCCTCCTGTTTGGGTCCCACATGGCCTGTCGGGGCTCTCTTGGGCCGTCTTTGGCGCCTCGTGGGACGTCTTCAGCCCCTTTTGGCCAACTTTGACTCCTCATCGGGGGCCTATGTGGCAATTTTGGTGCGATCTTCAGGGAGCTGGTGTACCGTCTTGGACGCTGTGACAAC